TTTTTAAATATTTTAAAATATAATTTAAATAGATTTTTCACACTTTAAGCAATATCGTATCGCATATCGCATATCGCATTTTTTAACAAGGTATCGCGTATCGCATTTTTTTTTTCAATATCGCACAGCCCTAATTTACACTCTACATTATTATTGCATAATTTTTTATAATGTACTACAATACTGAGGTGCATATATGTGCCACTTTTTGCAATAAGTAGTATAAATTGCAGAAAATACTGCTATTTTTGAATAGTGTAAATAGAATCTATTGCTATTTACACTTAGGCCTCGTTTACACTGCAGGTCTTGATGTCCAATTCTGATTTGTAGCCTATATCCGATTTTTTTTTTTACGTCCGTTTACACGCTCTTTCAATTGTGACCCATATCCGATTCATGTGCTTACATTTGCCATACCATCTGAAACATCGCGCGTGCTTAAAGGGGGGTTCTTGCACCACACACTAGCCAAGATGGACGAACGCGAAATATGCTTGATGCTAGCTCTGCGATATATGCATTGTCATTTACTGCCTCTACTAGGGATATGCCAGTATCAAATTTTCATGTTGCGATTACTTGCTAATGCTTTTATCACAGTATACATTATTATCACGATATTGAAATTTAGTTGCAAAAAAGTGTCATAATAATGCAGTATAACAGGTTTAATAACTTTTTTCTTATAACAAAAATAACTAAACATTTAAATACAATAAAACAATACACAAAAAATTTATAAAGTTAAACATTTTATACACATTAAAGTGCAAAAGAATTATATAAAGACCCATAAGTAACACTTTACAGTAAGATCTCATTAGTTAACCTTAGTTAATGCATTAACGTTCACAATGAGCAATAGCTACATTTGCTAAAGAAGTTACTAATCTTTGTTAAAAAATACAACTCTTAGTTCATGTTAGCTCATTAAATAACACAGTTGCAACTTTTGATTTTAAAGAGCAGGTCATATGGTATTTTAAAGTGTCCTAATATTGTGTTGGAGTCCCCTACAACAGGTTTAAATGCATCTAAGGTCAGAAAACATTGTAATTCGTTCTTATAATGATATAAAATGCAAAAACACTTATACAAGCGAATCGTGCCCAAAGCTAGTTTAGCTGCTAAACTGAACACTTAAAACAATAATGGTGGCTACGTTAGTCGAGTGCTAACGTGACTAACTGATGAAACAATACAGTTTGTAAGCCAAAATATGTCTACTGTAATGATTGAAGAACGACAGACAAAAGATGCTCTGTCTTAACTTTTAATCAGAACGCAGAACAGCTGTATCACAGGCGCAGCAGCCTAACTAACTCGCTCATCTCTCCTGCATTAACCGTATAGCTGCCGGTTCAGCAAAATAAACAGCAATTTCACAATGATTATAAAGTCTGTGCGCTACACTACATTCTTTATTATTAGACGAAGTAATTAGAACAACGTCAGTCTACATTAATCGACACATTCCTAGGAAATAGTGGGTTCACAGCGAATTATCAGAACTACTTCAGTAAGACAGTAATATTGTGCTTTACCTGGAAACCTGGTTCACAGCGAATTATCAGAACTACTTCAGTAAGACAGTAATATCGTGCTTTACCTGGAAACCTAAAGCTGCACTAGGTATACATCACATATTAGCACAAAAACTTGATATTTTGAGCACTCTATTGAAAATGTATTTTCATGTATTGAAAAACGCCCTATTTATTCATTTAAACACATTTTAGAAACCGAATGTAGCGCAGCTGCTTTATTTACAGGGTTTCTGGGGTTACGGCTGCATTTCTGCTGTTCAGCGCCATCTGCTGTCAGAGAGTGAATCTGTTTTATCCAGAGCGTCTCTCTCGCGCTCCGCCATGTGCTTCTTATCCATGCTTGTTTACATCAGAGTGCACATGCGTCTTTGACGCAGCATACAGCGGGGTTGTGCATTGTGACCAGTTGATGGGAAAGTATTCTTAAAATGCATTCAAAATTCCAAATAATTTGTTATAAATAATTATTCTCTGTATTTTGAAGCACTCACGATAACAATATCATGCATATTCATTATCGTGATATATCGCATTACCGAATACTGGCACACATCTAGCCTCCACACGTGCTTCCTTCTAAAAATTAATATCATGTCATTAAACCGTGGAGAAGTACCAAATTGTTGCAGTTTTAATGATGTACAGAACGCAATGCCTCAGAAAATCCGATCTGCCTGTTTACATGAGTCGCATTGGCACATATCCGATTTCCTCATACGAATGAGGCCTGATACCGATCTCGAAATATCCGAATGCATGCATTTTTTCCTGTTTGCACGGTCATAGAATACAATGTTCTGATTGTACTATACAAATATCTTCGATCGGGTCACTCACACTGGTGCACCTAAATATATTTTCACAGTTGCAGTTGGTAATTTTTTGATTACTAATGCATCTGAAATGTTGGGAGTGTAGAGCCTCGCCCATATACTGTAAAAAAAGATTGACGACGCATCTCCATTTCCTTGCACTATAGAAGAGTCTGCGCAGTAGAGATTCGTTTGGAGCCAGAGTCTGCGCAGTAGACATTCGTTTGGAGCCAGACTCTGCGCAGTAAAGATTCGTTTGGAGCCAGAGTCTGCGAAGTAGAGATTAGTTTGGAGCCAGAGTCTGCGCAGTAGTGTCGTGAGGTGGAGCCGCGGTATCAAACTCCCGACCAAACTCCCGCAGACCCAATCAACCATAATGACACGCCCCGTTTCAGCCAGCCACCAGGGGGCAATCAAAGAGCCCGCAGCTTCAATTTTCAGGATGTATGAGGCACACCCCGCCTCGCCTGGTTAAAGTTAGAGTATATGATGTGAATTTGTGAAGTCTCTAAGTCATAGCTCATGTTCAGTTTAGAAGTTTACAGTGTCCTGAATCAACATTTCCATTCAGAAATGTCACAGCATAAACAGTCTGGTCTGACCACACTGCTTTTAACTTCCTTGTGGAAAACACCTTCCCTAGATCATGGCGTCATTTGCATCACGTCAACAACGCTTTCAGGCCTGAGCACTAATCTTCTGCTGATCGGAGCTGAACACATCCACAGATACCGTGATCAGGTTCAGTTATGATGTGATGTGCGACTGCTGTCTGCAGCGGCTGTGTCAGAGATCATGACAAACAGATTTTATCTGCTGCAGTTTAGAGCGCTCAGGATCAGGCAGGAAGGAGTTAAAGGCGTGCAGCTCGTGCTCGTGTCTGTGGGGCAGCTGGTCTGGAGGGAGGGGGTCCTAAATTATTAAACCCCAGCAGAAACAGGGCAGCATGTAATAGACGCAGAGCAGTGCCCTGCTCACCTCCTGTACCGCACCGATTTAGCTGCGGCCTATACGGACACGCTAGCGTCATTTCCAGGATGACTCTTCTTTATCAAGTTTTATGGAGACATTTGTTCTTTTTAGGGGTCGACCGATATGTGTTTTTCAAGGCCGATGCCGATACCGATTATTACAGATCAAGTAGACCGATAACCGATATTTTGAACCGATATATATGTCTGGTGTAAAAATGAAAATTAATGTCAAAATTAAGAATAACAAGGGCTCTGACAAAAACTGCCTTCCCTGGTGTTGGTTGAATGTAGTACTCCCACAGTTCCGCATTGATTGGTCGGACTCATGACTCCCAACAAATCAGATGTGCGGGGGGCGGAGACTGCTTTAGGCCACAGAGTGCTGAGTTCTGATAGGCTGCATCAGAGCCAAATAGCGCGTTTCAAAATTAAGTTATTTTATCGGCGAATCGGTTTTGAAAATGACCGATACCGATAATCATAAAAATGCTTAATATCGGCGCCGATAATCGGTCGACCCCTAGTTCTTTTTCTTTCTTAAACTGATAAATGCGGATATAAAGCATTATGTATGCGTTATGGACATTGACCGTATTAATTTCTTTAAAGCTGCTTTGAAATGGTGTGTATTGTGAGCAGTCTGGGGTCCTGAAGCTGTAAAACAAAGCCTATTGATTATAAAAGAAAAAAAAATCCTTCACATCCGCACAAACTTCCTGTATCAACAGGAAATACATCAACATAGGAAAGAAGACTGTGCTTGTCAATTAATTTCATGTGGTCTTCAGGCCAATATGCTGTAAAATTATGGTTTGTTTTTGAGGTCCTGCTTAATGTTTCAATGCATTAGCAGGCTCTACAGGAAGCTCTTCCAGTCAGATTTCCTTCCTGTCCTCTACAGAAGTCCACCCTTCAGTGTCAAGAGTAAAACACTGTACAGTCCTCAGGGTTTTGGGCTTTATTCTGTGATTTCACAGAAAAGTACTTTTATCTAACACCTGTTCATCTTACTTTTTTTAAAATGTGAAATGACTTTAATAAGCAAATTGGCTAAATATACAGCCATCATCATGATCATCAACATCATCATCCATCAGTAAATCCCTATGAAATCCATTTTACTTTTTTCCAAATTATTTTTTTTTTTTCTGTTTTAATTTTTCGGGAGTCCATTTTTATTTTTTTCGTATATCAATTTTTCTAGACTCTGTTTTAATGGTAGAATTAAATGTTATTAATCAAAAAGCATGTCTAATTAATTTAAATAATGCAACTTACAATAATAAACAGACATTTACTATAAAAGTGTAACAAATTAAATTAAGGCCTTATGATTTTGATGATTTATGATTAAATATTTATAATGAATATAAATATTTAAAGTTATGCTCATGCGTTTCTGGTTAGGTCATATTCGTTGTGTATGTCGAATGACTTGGTGTTTTTGTGAAAATTATACTGCAGGCAGATTGGGTTTGCTCTGTAGTTTATTTTGATGGTGAATGCGTGTAGTTTTAGAGTGAGCAGTGTTGTTGAGGTGAAGGTAAAGCCGTATATTGATGCGGCCACTGACCCTGTATTAGCAATATTAACATGACACTTTATCAGCTGGATTATGTGCGGCTTAAACTGCATCTCTGCATCTAAACGTGGAGCCAGCCAATCAGCCGCTGCCGTTCTGGTGAGGCGTTTATCCAGTGTAGATCCATTCAGAAGGTCTTTGGCCGTTGGAGGCACGGGAGCTGTGTCTGGGAATACAGAATCCAGGTAAGGCTTTACTTTACCTCTAGAAATAAGACCGCACACCTGAGGGAATGGCACCTTAATAGTGACCTTACTAGTGTACTTTTTTGGCAGCATAGGACTTTTGATGGCTTTTTGTATTCAGATGGACGTTGTGTGTGAGTAGGACTAGTTGTGCTGAATAAGATGAGATATTACTACTGTAGTCTTTCTGTTGGAGTGTGTCCAAGCAGAAGGATCACTCAAAGATTCACACTAGTTACTAAAGTTGGTCAGATCTCATGTTCTTGTTCATTTTGACGTGCGATGCGAGTGAAAGTGTCGGCAGTGGATTTGGGTCAGCAGGAGAGTTCATCAGCAGATTTGGTGTTAACCGGATTTGTGCGGACGCGCTGAATCAACTGTGTCCCTGGATTACAGGAGTGACATTGAGAACGGGACGCGGTCCATGTCTGTGTCCACTCACACTTTCCTCGGCTCTCTCTGATCACCCAACCAATTCTTGACCCATATAATTCAAGCTTTTACCTCTGGATTTCTTTCTTTTGGTGAAGTACAGAAGGGGTACGGTATGTTTTCGTTGTGGCTTTTAATAGTTTAAATGGGTAGGGCGAGGCATTGTTACCTATATGAAGAGAAAAAAAATTTTGTGTTGCCAATTAGGTTGAATGTTTATTTCGAAGAAGAAAAAAAAAGCTAGTAAAAATGAGACGCTAGTAAAACACTCATACTGACAAGTCAGGGATGAGAAAAGATCATGAAACCAGTCTTAAACTTTCTTTAATGACCGTAATGGACAAATAAAAATCAAATTTTGTCATGATGTTCACATTGACCCTGTATGTGAATGCAGCTTATTCCAGAGTTTTTACAGAAAGCAGCTTTGTGAAACATCATATAGACGTGAACACAGTTTTACTTACACTGTTTAAGCGATTAAGAGAAAGTGGTTTTACATGTGGGTTTCTGTCAAGAGTGCAGCCGTTTATAAGGCCTGTTCACACCGACACAAACGTTAAGCACAAAAATTCAGTCCGGTTTTTGCATGCTATTTGTCAGTTCACACTAGGGACGGTCTTTATATGTAATCCATTTGATATAGCCTACTTAATCTCAAATTTAAACAGTCAAATCTCGTATTGTGTTGCTAAAAATGGGTCCTTTAACATTAAATGTAGTAGTCTTACATTATGATCATTGTACAGTACACTTAAGCATTCACCCTAATCGATGCTAGCCTATACAGTATATTTATTAAATAAGCAGTGCAGGACCAATAAGTGCAAACTAGGGTTGCACCGATGCTGGTATGGCCATCGGGCCTGATACTGCGCTCCTGTACTTATCATGAAAACACTGATACCAAAAACCGATTCCACACGGCGTGTGAACAATGCTGAGTCCAGACAAAGAAACACAGACAACAGAACAAACAGAGCCGAATGGAGTCATTAGAGATTAAGGATGTCTATGAAGTACATGTATGTAATTAATATGTAAATATTCAGTATTCACACCTGTTTAGCTGATGTGCGCAAGCTGATAATCAAAGCACGCTGAGTGGATTGAGCGCGTGGCGGCACAGATGCGTAGGCTTGTCGAGCAAATATTACTGTATTGCTTCAAATATTAGCAAATATTAAAATATTACTTCACTGGAAAGTTTGTAGTTCAGTCGGATATGTCAAAAGAAAGTAAGTAAAACAATGCACAACTTGCTAAAGTTACTTGACAGGAAGGAAGAGAGAGAGAGTACTTGGCTCACTTAGCACATGCATCATTTGGATTAAAACTAAATCATAAACAAACAAAAATTATAGAGGCATTCACTATAAACAACATTTATTTATTAAACGTCGAGCATGCCCAACTTTATTTAAAGCGAAAGCCTGTGTGAAATGCGCTACGTGTCTCTCTCATTCTGCAACGATAAAAATGTTTGCGCATGTTTTGCTTGCTTGACGTTAATTGCATTATATGAGTCGCTGTGGAATTCTAAGTCGCAGCACATTTTAGATGTTAAAAAGCATGACTTTTTTCCAGAAAATATATTTATCGCTGTTAAAAGATTTATGTATAGCGAGTGGTTCCCTGCATTATAACAGGAAAACGTCTGTGCTATTGAATTAAAGATGAAGTACCAGAGCAATAAAATGAACAGTGAAAGTAACAAAAGCTTATACAATACATTTTAATGGTCATAATTAAATGTGAAAATAACTGAAGGAAAGACCTATTTGCTAAATGAAGCCAACTAACGTGACTACTTCTTTTGGTTTCTGTACCCAATATTTAAAAAAATGACAAATGTCACGAAAATACAGGTAAGGCACTTAATAAGTACCAGCAAGTACCACAAATTAAAGTTATTGTATCGGACTCGTTCTGGAAAAAGTGGTGTCGGTGCATCCCTATTACAAACTCGATAGCCTATTATAAACAGAATTCCTCTATTAAAAGTTCACCAGGATAAGTCTGCATGTCAAAATATTGTTCTTTTCCATGGCCACCGCTTGTGCGTCCAGGTTTGAACACACTTCTCATGTATGAAAAGTAGTCTACCTGTACACATGACGGGAAGCAGAATCGTAAGAAAAGGGAAGTCTGTTCATTTGTTAGGGTATTGATATAGCAACTGTTGTTGTCAAGTAAGGTTCATTCATAACATTTCCTCTTTAATCCGATATCAATTTGTTTTACAGGTATTATTCCTCATAGTATAACAGGCATTAAACAGAATTGTTATATGCCAGGTTGACATAGGACTAGAGCCTATACAAAACTTTCCCGTTTTCTTATACTATAGTCAAAATACTCCCTCACCTTGCACATGCAAGTGCTGAGGTCGAATGAAATTCATTTTAAAATGTAACATTTAAATGGAGCCTTTGTAATAATATAAAGCAAAACAAATTGCAGATTGATTAAATAAATACAGTAAATAAACAAATGGCTAGTATTCCCAAGTCAACTAGCAGCAGCAGTATCATTTAGTCAACTAGTCTTGCACATCCCTAGTTCACACCAATGGAAATAACATGCTGAGAAGCTTCAGGTGGGCGGTATGACCAAAGTCTTATATCACGATACGAGTAATTTATATCAAGATAACCATATGCATCACCATATAGATATTTTTGCATATTTTTGATATTTTTAGAAGTTTTTGATACCATAGAATTTTCATAATTCGTGTCAATATCACAGAAAAACTAATACAATCCTAAAAAGAAAAAAGAAAACCCAATCTCACTGAAGGTAACTAATTACAAACAGCAGGACAAAAAACTACAATCAATAAATGCTACATAAATTATACAAATTATTCAAAAACACTGCATAGTTTTCGCTGTGTAAATTAAATTTCTTATTCTTGAAAAGTGATTTAGTCAAGAGCAGTGAGAGATTTTCTCTCACTGTTGTTTGATTAACATGAATGACAGACAGGAGGAATATTAGACTGTTTTCACTTTAAGACCGAACATCCACATCCAATATACTGCTACACGTGCGTTTTATTTCTTAGCTGTTTACTTTCACTTAAGACCTACATGACTGTGTTTACGAGAATGCTTGCAAAGACGGGTATTTTCATACACGCAAGTATTTTATTTAACCGTTCAAGGCCAATAAAACAACAAAAATACTCAAGCGCTCTATGAGCAGATTCAGAAACAGTCTCACAGACAGCGTGCATATTGCAATGTTGTTTGCATTTAAATGGCTTAAAATCACTTGTTTTTAAACCGCAATGCTTAAAAATGTGTGCAAATTATCAATTTTCGTGACCACGGCGCACCGCAACTTGATGTGAGTGCATAACCGTGATAAAGACGATAGTTCAGAATTTCTACCGGTATATCGCCCACCCCTAATCACCTTTCTGCAACAAAAAAAAACGCAGAAAAATAATCATGTCGGACTAAACAGATTAGCAACAGGTCATTCAAATTCAAATGTTTAACGCGCCAAGCAAGCGTGGATGTGTGTGGGAGAACCACCAAATTGCATGTATACAGAGGTTAAGAGAAAAAAAAAAAACCCTGATGTTGCTTGGTTTTAGATCAGCATCAGAGTCCTCACGAATACTCAGCGTATCATTCCTGTTTTGTAGTTGGAAGTAGATTCGATCTAATTAAGCGTGGTATTCACGAATTGCGATGTGATCAGCTGCTCTCGGCTGTTGCGTGAAGCGTTTGTGTAGCCGTGCGATGTGTTGCGCTGTGCTGCGGTAATGGTGATCTTTAGCACAGGCACTGTTGCTAAGCGACGGCTTCACGGGTTGGCAAGGACACAGGCGGTGAGAGAGACGTGCTCGCATCCCTTCATTAATGTTGTAAATGTGTCCAGTGGCTACGGCGCTCTAACTATAGCGCTGTCTGATGTCAGCTGTGTTTGTGCATGTACACACACACACAGCAGTGATGTGGGCTGAACAAGCCGTATAATGAGGCTGACTCTGTGTCCACCACACTCAAGACAGGTTTGTAATGGGGCGATCGCATCGGGTGTGTTCTGGGCCAGTAGATCACGCAAAACTCTGCCCAAAATACAGAGCTGTGGGTGCTGTTTCATTGATGGCAATGCTGCTCAAAGCAGAGCGTTTGTCCAGCAGTTCAACATAATGTGTTGCTAATACGTTTTGATGACAGTTCAGCAAATTGAAATCATCTCCAGGAGGATGCATATCTAAATATGCTCTCCAGACAAAAAATCATGGATTTGATCAACTGGTCTCTCAACGCTGTGTCTTGTTTAAATGCCACACAATGTACAATTGTTTAATGATATGCAACCAATAGAGTGATGATATGTGTGTGTGTTTCAGATCAGTGCGAGTGCCAGTGAGCGGACGGAGTGAAGCCCATCGCCTAGCAGAAGAAAATGAGCGAACTCGACCAGTTACGTCAGGAGGCTGAACAGCTGAAAAACCAGATCAGAGTCAGTCGTTGCACACACCACATCACACACACACACGCTTGACACTCGATACACATTATGACAGCAGATGCTGCCACACGTCACAATTTTAGGGCCCTATGATTTACAGTATAACACAGAATGTCATAGAATTTGCCAAATTTTGGACGGATAAATCAAAAGTAGGTCAGTACAGTTAAATCGAAACTAGGGATGTTCATTTAGGTTATTTTTCCTAACCGACAACCGACGCTCGTTAACCCATTATTAACCGTTAACCGACAAGATAATTTTAAATTAGAATTGAATTAAATTAGAAAGGATAAGTGTCTGTGACCCGTTAAAAAAATACTAACATTTGTTTTCCGGGGACTAATTTTACATGCGCAAAATACAGCAAACAACAGAACATGAGGATTCACATGGTCTTCATATCACATCACGCACCTGCAGCGCTTCTGCCAGTGGAGAAAAACTTAATAAAGCTAGGCTATATAACGAATAAATAGGCCTGTTAAATACAGTCAGTCAAACATATGGAGAAAAAACACTGCTCAGTTCAAATATGTAGTAAAACCTGTGCCGTTAAGCGTTATCACCATACCGCCGTGATGTTATGCAAACCATGTTGTTTTACGTGGATATTGGAACGCGAGTGAAGTACATAATAAATAATAATTTGCCATTCAAATACATCGCGAATATGGAAACATTTGATTTTGTGTCGAATGAGAGACCCAACGTTGGTTTCAGTTTCATTTTAAACTAAATAAATTTGTTTTGGCTTGTCGTTTATATAGCCATAGCTTCTTATATTTTTAATTCTTGTTCTTTTCTAAATACTGTTAATTGAAAGGATTTGGTGTGGAGTGAGGGGAACTAAAATAGCCTAGCTATTTTACAGTGTTTATTATAATGTTTGTAAACATTTCGCTCGGCATTAGGCCTATTTCTGAATGAAATAATAAAATGCGACTTATGTTTTTCCCCCCTAAAAAACAATTTTTGTTGTACGCGCTACGCTACGTATTTTAACCATGCAGCAAACCTTTTTAAATATTTTGATAAATTTACTGGGAAAAAAATAAATAAATGACTTTTTAAACCGTTTAACTGATTGTATTAATCGGTCAAAATTCTTACGGTCGGTTAACCGGTTAATGAACGGTTAAAATGAACATCCCTAATCGAAACGCGATGTGGTCTAGTGTCTGTGAATATTAAGCCGCAAAATTACTACTTAAATATGAATCCTGCATGTTCTGCGTGTCTCTGTGTGAATGAATAGCGCAGACACGTGGTTACATTTACTTCACACATACTGAAGCGCTTGTGATGCTTGTGGTGTTTGGCACCTTAAAGGGTTAGTTCACCCAAAAATGAAAATTCTGTCATTAATTACTCACCCTCATGTCGTTCCAAACCCGCAAGACCTTCGTTCATCTTCAGAATATAAATTAAGATATTTCTGATGAAATCTGAGAGCTCTCTGACCCTCCCATAGACAGCAAGGATACTAACACGATCAAGGTACAGAAACATAGCAAGGACTAGGGATGTGCGCGACGACTAATTTGACTGTCGTTTAAACGAAAGTTTTGTATCCGACTAATCGACTAGTCTAAAAGCAAGAAACCCCCAAAAGATGGTAAGAAAAAAAAAACCTCTGTGCGTGCAGCATATATAATAGCCTATATTTGAAATACTTAATCTATGAATCACACTGTCAAATCCCTCAATGAATTCCGCTTGCCGCACACTTGCTTTGCGTTATCATCATTTCATTTTAGGCGGCCGTTAAAAAGAAAAAAAGGAAGAGTATACACTCAACGTCGGCCAAAGCATAGCTTATTTATTCAAATCAGCTGGGGAAATGCAGAACAATGGAAAATCAATCAATAGCCTGACAGTCAAAAACAATAGGAAGGTTTATCAAGAAATAGCATTAAAACGGCTTTTAAAAACGTACTTCGTGTAGGCTATATCGTCTAAAAACAAAATGCAACAATGCCCATTTTACTTACTCAGACCATGCGTTATTTGTTCAGTGAAATTATCAACGTGGTCTGGTGAAAGACGGGACCTGAGGCGATTAACAATAAAATTCCTGCACTTGAAAAAACGCGCTCGGCAGGAACTGAAGTCGCAGGCACGCAGAGATAACGAAAAGCAAGCCGATAGAGTTTCAGAAAGTGCCTGGACGTCCTGCACCGCCACCGAAGTGGGTCTTCGTTAGAGGAACAGACTGCGCGGACGGGATCGCAGCGCCGGCGGGTTGTAGTGAATGATCAGTGTTTCGACTAGACCCGCACATCCCTAGCAAGGACATCGGTAAAATAGTCCATGTGACATCAGTGGTTCAACCGTAATTATACGAAGCTACGAGAATACTTTTTGAGCGCAAAAGAAAAAAAATAACGACTTTATTCAACAATTCATCTCCTCCGCATCATGCCGTAGCTCCATTTTGGAGAATATCCGCTGGACGTAAATTGCATATGCTGTTTTGTGTCAGCTGCGCCATGGCGCTATAGGGTGACATGGAAGAGACAAATTGTTGAATAAAGTCGTTATTTTTTTTCTTTTGCGCACAAAGTATTCTCGTAGCTTCGTATAATTACGGTTGAACCCCTGATGTCACATGGATTATTTTACCGATCTCCTTGCTACATTTCTGTGCCTTGATCGTGTTAGTATCCTTGCTGTCTATGGGAGGGTCAGACAGCTCTCAGATTTAATCAAAAATATCTTAATTTGTTCAGAAGATGAACTTACAGGTTTGGACGACATGAGGGTGAGTAATTAATGACAGAATTTTCATTTTTGGGTGAACTATCCCTTTAATATACATGAACATAATCTCTATAACTGCTCAGAGACAATTCATGAGCATTTTACCGTTTCTTTTGAGTAAAGCTATTGTCATATCATATACAAACAGAAACTTAGAAGTCTTTTCGGCAACCGTCAAGTTAAAAGTTAACTTGAAGAAACTGTGACAAATATATTGCTAAATGTATTGATAGTATTAATACTAATAATGATTATTATTAAAACATTATTTTTAAGGGATACTTACCAGGAAAAAATTTTTTACACAACAGTATTTCTGGAAAAAAATAAATAAATAAAATAATACTAAATTATTTTTTTTTAAATAAAATCTATTAGTTAGAGATGCTTTTGTTTATTACAATTTAATGAAACCATTTAAATGTAATCCAGAAAAATTATGGAAAACAGTATTTGGTAAAAAAATAAATAAAACTGAATTTGAGAAAAAAATAAAACATTTTAACAATTTTTGTTAAACTTTTAATAAATTGCTGTCAAATTTCATAATTTCAATTAATTAGACATGCTTTTGGATTAATAAAAATGTAATTTAACCATTAAAACAGCGTCTAGAAAGAATAAAACAGAAAAAAACGGAATTTGGAAGAAAATAACAAGGAATTTGGGAAACTGATTTCATAGGGATAAATAAAACTGAATTTGAGAAAAAAATAAAACATTTCATAGGGCTTTAAAGATGTAATTTTTGTTAAACTTTTAATAAATTGCTGTCAAATTTCATAATTTCAATTAATTAGACATGCTTTTGGATTAATAAAAATGTAATTTAACCATTAAAACAGCGTCTAGAAAAAATAAAACAGAAAAAAACGGAATTTGGAAGAAAATAACAAGGAATTTGGGAAACTGATTTCATAGGGCCCTACAATTTGATAACTGCATTGTAAGCAGTTCACCTGTTCATTGGGAATTGAACGCATTGCCTTGGCATTTTTATCGCCATTTGAGCTCATGTTTTGGATCAATTTGTTAAGGTTGATTGGGCCGTGATGTTAATAAGTGTTTTCTCCTCCTTTTTGAAAAGTTTACAAGGCTTTTTGTTTGTATCCTGACCATGCACGATTACATGGTTTGTTGGATTCGATTAGTTTTTTTTCCTGCTGTCAGAACAGACCTGCAACCCACGAGTTCCACTTTCTGAAATGTTCATATGATAATGTCAACAAAAGAATTGCCATATCTGATTGAACCGGCACAGCCCTGCACCTTCACTCATTATACTCCCTCACAGATGTGTTTTTACTCGAACATTGAGTTGCAGTGTCGTAACCAGGCCCGATGAGCGGTGGATCCTCACTTCTGCGCTAGTTTTTATCTTAACTGTGACAAAGGACAAGACGTTTTGCTAGTCACTCTGAACTATTTCAGTCATGTGGTGTCTGGTTATGACACTTCTTTTGCCTTTTTGACCTATGAGACCGATTCTGTATGTGTTTGTGGTCTTATCTGTGTTTTTCTTCTCAAGGATGCACGGAAAGCATGTGCGGATGCCACCCTCTCTCAGGTAGGACTCGTTAAACATCAAACCTCCGTCACTTCTCAAATCATGTTGTTGTGTTCGGATGGAGTTTCAGTTGGCTCTCTTTTGAACTAGATTTTGTTCTCATGTGTTTCTGGCAGATCACAGCCAATATTGAGCCTGTGGGGCGGATTCAGATGCGCACTAGACGGACACTGAGGGGACACTTGGCGAAGATCTACGCCATGCACTGGGGCACTGACTCAAGGTGATCCCGTCGAGCCCTGTGCCGTAAACTAGTGCAGCTGTGTCATTTCATCTGTGTTAATAGTGCTGAGGAGTCGTGTTGTGTGATCTCCAGCAGGCTGATGAACTGACCAGACATGGTTTTCGGCCACATGCACGCAGTATGTGATCGGCTTGGCAAAGATCACTTTATAGGCTACACAACAGCTTCGTCTCCGAGTCTGCAATCACACAAAAACATGTCTGGATAACATTGACTGCAAAATCAAAAGAAAACATGTTTTCCATAAAGAAAATTCTCTGTCTTAAGCCCCGTTCACACCAAGAACGATAACTATAAAGATAACGATATTAGCGGCCACACCAGCGAACGATATCGTCTGTTTATTCTAAGCGCACATGCGTCTGCCGCTTTTACAGCAGGATGAATTCTGATTGATTGTCAATTTTTTATCGTTTATCAGCTGGAAAA